GCGAAAGAAATCGGGATTATAATAAGGGTAGAATTCCTTCAGCGGCAGCGTTAAACACATCACTATCTAACAGCTGTTTATTCTGTTCTGAAAATCATACGTCAGAATTATGTCAAAAAACTGTGCCAGAAAAAAGGGAAGCGTTAAAGCGAAGGGGATTTTGTTTCAGGTGCCTCAAAGGATACCATTTAGCGAGGATGTGCAAATCGAAACTAACTTGTGGTATTTGCGATCGGCGACATCATACATTGATACACTCTGACGAAACGAATGCGTCAGACAAGAGTCCCGTCCAAAGGGCAGTAGTCTCTTCTGTTTCCGATTGCGCAACAGCAAATAACTCATTTCTTCTGACAGCACGAGTTGAAATTATAAACACAGGCAATTGGCGCCAGCAAAGCGTTCGCTTGTTGTTTGATTTAGGATCGCAGCGAACATTTATTAGGGAGGACATCTGTAAGAAATTAAAACTTCCCGTTATTGGAGAAGAAAAAATTAAAATATTCTCTTTCGGCTGCACGACGTCTGAAGTGCAGAATGTTAAAAAAACCAAGCTCATTTTGCGTAATTCGAAGAATCGATATGAAATCAAAATAGAAGCTTTAATTATTCCTGTCATTAATGGGATCACATATTCATTCCCCTAGAAATGAAGTAGTTAATGTTATTAAAAACAGGGCATACAACTTTCGATGAATGGGGACCAGAGAATAACCGCCGAAAATTTCTTGTTGATAGGAGCGGATTTTTATTGAAAAAAGTTACGGGTAAGGTTCACAGACTGTCTAATTCCTTAGTTGCGGTTGAAACAAATTGGGTTGGACCATTAGTGGAACCGAAAGGGCTTACGGAATTTCACAAACTAATGTGAATACGATGAAGGTTGTGGTTCATAATAATAAAGATACACAGAACGAATCACTGTCTAGTTTGCTGAAGAATCTCTGGGAGCTCGATTCTATGGGGATAAATTATGATTCGGATAAGGAACTCGAATTAGAAAATAATTTAGTTTTCGATAATTTCAAAAGATCTGTAAAGTTTGAAAACAATCGTTATATTGTGCGCCTTCCTTGGAATCATAATTCAAATGAGCTAGGAGATAATCTGGAGATTGCTAAAATTAGATTTAAGAGTTTAAGTCGTAGATTTCAGAATAATCAACAGTTCTATGACAGATATCGCGAAGTAATTGATAGGTACTTAAAAGAAGGAATCGCCAAAGAGACTAACATTGAAATTGGACCAAAAACGTATTTTATGCCGCATCAAGCCGTTATAAGAGAAAACAAGGAAACTACAAAACTCCGTGTGGTTTTTGACTATTCGTCACATGCGGAGAATTGTTTGTCATTAAATGACTGTTTACATTCAGGTCCTAAGATGTGTCCAGACATACTGGAATTGCTCCTTAAGTTCCGTCAAAATCGAATTGCGCTTACAGCTCACATCGAACAAGCATTATTGCAGATTTCTCTTGCTGATGAAGGCAGAAACGCAGTCAAGTTTCTATGGAACGATGGTGTATTAAATGGAACCAAAATAAAGGCTCTTCGTATGACAAGGGTACTTTTTGGAGCAACATCTAGTCTGTATCTTCTCAGAGCAACTCTTAATGTGCATGCTGACAAATACAAGTTACAGTATCCGAACGTATTTTCCATGCTAACTGAAAATATGTTTGTTGACGATTTAATCGCTGGAGCAGATGAAGAATCAGAAGCATTCGAGGAATCGGAACATATTAAACGCATACTGAAAGAAGGTGGATTTAACATGCGGAAGTGGAAAACGAATGAAACGAATTTACAAAGGGTATGGAATGAAGAAGATTTTCAAACGATTCGACTTGTTCTAAAGTATTGGGATACATATGGAATAGGTCAAATGATACATTTTTGATAGAAATTGAAGAGTTGGTAAAAGATGCCAAAAGGATAGATAACATACCAAATAAAAGAGAAATCTTGAGATTTGTAGGACGTTTCTTTGATCCACTGGGGTTTTTAAATCCATACACCATTCGAGCTAGGATTTTATTACAAGATTTATGGGAACAAAAGATAGCATGGGACACTGAAATACCAGAAAATCTCAGAAAGAATTGGCAAAGCTGGTGTGGTGAATTACTCATATTTAGTTTGGAAATACCAAGACATCAGTTTGCAGGTGCTGGGAAAAGGGATATAAAGGATGGTTTACAGTTACACTGTTTCACAGATGCGAGTCAGAAGGCCTATGGGGCTGTTCTGTATTTTCGTTATTCGAAAAATGGAGTCATTCATACAAGTTTCATTACATCAAAATCACGAGTAGCACCTTTGAAAAAATTATCACTTCCCAGATTGGAATTGATGGGTGCTTTGATAGGCTCGCGCTTGTCAAATTACATTCAAAAGAAACTTCGGGACATTGATTTAATTGTATATATGTGGGCCGATTCTAGTATAACGTTACATTGGATTAGAGGTGATGTGAAAAGGTGGAAGCCATTCGTTCAAAACAGAGTGAAGGAAATACAGAAGAATTCAGATGTCTTGAACTGGAGATATACGCCTGGTGAACATAATCTAGCTGATTTACTAACTGGAGGTGAAAATGTCAAACATCTGAAGCAGAATAGCATATGGTGGGAAGGGCCCACGTGGTTGAAAGAAGAAATGGAACACTGGCCAAAACCGAATTTATGTTCCACAATGAACATTGAAGATTCCAACAAGGAACTAAGAAAAACATCAAAGGAAGTTTTCGTAAATGCATGCGTTACCGAACCTTCCGAAGATTTATTTAAAACCCAAAATTACAGCAATTTACACCGAATTTACCGAATTACTGCGTGGTGCTTAAGGTTCATCAACAATATTAAAAATACCTCGAAATTATCAGGATGTTTGCAGGTTACCGAATTGGAAATGGCACAAACTTATTGGATTAAACATGTTCAGGAGCGAAATTTTACAAATGAAATATGGGCATTGAAGAACAACGATGAATTAAGTTCAGAATCAAAACTAAGGTCCCTCAGTCCATTTGCAGACGAAAGTGGTGTAATTCGTGTTGGTGGACGATTAGAAAATTCAAATTTGGATTACAAACAAGCACATCCAATCGTGTTGCCCGACAAAAATCATTTGACTGATCTAATTATTCTTCACAGTCATCAGGTGGTAAGGCACGGAGGAATAGCAGATACTTTTTAAATCAGATAAGAGATAAATTTTAGTTGCTGAAGGCTCGTCGGAAAATTAAAAGTGTTCTGTACAATTGCAATGTCTGCAAAATATTTCGAACTAAACCTTTCATGCAAGATATGGCACCTTTCAAACCACACAGATGCCGAGACGTCTTTCCGTTTGAGAACTCCGGAATAGATTACGCGGTTCCACTGTACGTCAAAAGTGGAAAAGAATTATCTAAGACATACGTTTTACTGTTTACCTGTGCTGTAACCAGAGCCGTGCATTTAGAACTTACGGCTGACCTTTCCACAGAAAAATTTTTGCTTGCATTTAGACGGTTCACAGCGAGAAGAGGTTTGTGCCGAATAGTGTACACCGATAACGCCCAAACCTTTAAAAGAGCGAAAAAAGAATTAGAGCTATTGAACGAGGTGATGAAAAGCAATAAAGTTCAAGACGAGTTCTCTAAGCAAGGAATCAAATGGAAATTTATAGTTGAGAGGGCGGCATGGTGGGGAGGCTTTTGGGAGCGTATGGTTCAGTCTCATAAAGCTCTTCTGAAAAGAATCTTAGGAAAATCATCCTTGACATTCAGGGAATTAGAGACAGTCATAACAGAAGTGGAAGCTATATTGAACTCCAGACCTTTAACATTTACATACTCAGATCTAGGAGAGCCAGAATCTTTGACCCCTGGTCACTTCTTAATAGGAAGACGATTACTATCATTGCCACAAGGAAGCTCTAAATTAACTTCAACAAAGGAGAGTCTTACACGTCGATTTAGACATCAACAGATACTGGTAGGAAGAATCTGGCGAAAATGGAGGCAGGATTATTTGATGAATTTAAAATCTGCTCATCATTCCAAACTGGCGAAAACAGGAACCTGTTTGAATAAAGGAACTATTGTATTAGTGCATGAAGATAAAATTCCACGGCTGATGTGGAAGATGGGCGTCATAATGGAAGTCTTTCCTGGGAGAGATGGCAAGGTGAGAGCCTGTGCTGTCCGCTTGCCCAATAGACATACGATTAAAAGACCAGTGCAATTACTATATCCGGTGGAGCTGGAATGTAATAAGGACAATTACGGCAATTGTCCTTCCGGGCGGGAGGATGATGCAACTTAACTCTTGCTGAGATCCGATGGCTGAGTGACGTCATCTCGAACTATGAACTCTCGCTAGAGATCACGAGAACTCGGGACGGAGAAGTCGCACGCTGCGTCGTGCGAACATTTAAACCTTTCATTATGTAAATATTATGTAACCGTTAGCGTCTTTATTAAATATATTTGTGTTAAGAAAGTTTATCATTTATGGATTATCCCTCTCAAGATTTTGCAGATGCACAGCACAGAGGAACTTCAGCCCATTGGCCCTGGCCGAACCCATTGGAACAAGGTAAGCAGTTTTGTTTTACCTTGATTAATTAGTTAGAAGTAAGATAAAGAATATAAAATAATAATAGGCTATATGGGGATTGTGCAGAGAGACTGATGAATTTTTATTGCATCAGTTGCAATTGGAATTGCGGCTCAAAATTCCATAGGAACGATTGACTTTGGTACGAGTAGGACCTCTGCCAACTTTCATGGTTCGATGGTAGCCAACATTCACAGTCGACATAATAATACGTAAGTATCATTTAAGTATTTTTGAACTGACGAAAAGATTAAAACTAATTATCATACAAGGAATTCAAAACTACCACAGAAAAATTTATTTTTACTTTAATATTTTAAAAGCATGTTAATATTAATATAAAATATTCAAGAAGTCTTTCTAGGGCAGAATAAATTCACTTTTCCATACTTACTTGCAACGTAATCTCCGAAGCCAATAGTAGACAATGTAATGAAACAATAGTAAAAACTTTCAACAAAAGTCCACTCTTCGAGCCACATGAAGAAACCCGCGGGCACCACAAGAAATACAACCAACCAGGGAAGAAGGCACTTTGTAGCACAGAAAGCAATAGCAAGTTTTGAGTTCCTACTCCTATTTTTTCTTGCTCTTTGAATACCTTTTACCAAATGTTGACTGTAATGACCTCCAATAGCAGCTAATAAAATTCCTGTCAGAGGTATGCCAATTGTGGCGTAAAAAATACAAAACAGACGACCTCCTGTAGTGGAAGGTGAAAGATGACCATAACCTGTAATACAGAAAAATAAATAATAAAAAATAAATAAGTTAAATAAATAAGTTTTATTGTTGAACAATTTACTTTTGCAAAGGTGGGAATAAAGCATGAGAACTTAAGTTACATAAGTTATAAAGAAATAGATGCACATCTTCTTTTTTTAAAAAAATAAAGAATTTGACAGTTATGGACATTTGCGGCAGAATACTGTAGTATAGGCTTCCTCAGATATACAGTTACATATAGGGTATGTGCGTTGCAGGGGAAAACAATTCAAAGGAAAATATTGCGAGGAAAGAAGAAGAAAGAAAAAAAAAAAATCAAAGCGAAAACAGTCGCAATTCTCAAACATTGTGGTCGCAGAAAATGAAACTGTTCAAAAACCACGCAGTTTTAAAACATCGCGCAGAAAAAATCGTGGTAAAAAATGAAGCAACAACAAATCATCGCATGATGATAACATCTTAGACTTGTGTTTTTGGATTTGAAAAGTTTAAATGCATGTTCGCATAATGAGTTTTGAGCGAAAGAGGAATAATGAATATCTTTGCCTTTGTATTTCATATTTTTGAATTAACTAATAAATTTTTGCTGAAAAAGCAAGAAAGAAACTTCAGCACTCAAAAACTGGAAATACACTCATGTCCATAAATTAAGGATAATGCAAAATCAGGCAAAGGAAGAGTTAGAAGCAAAACAAATTTGACTTATTTGTAAAGCTTATTTATTAAACAAAAGATAAAGAGTAAAAAAAGATGCTATATGTTTGATATTATTAAAAAAAATTAGCGATTTTTCTCCCTGGAGCAAATTACAAAAAACACCTATTTACAAAAAACCAATATTACATAGTTGGTATGATTGTTAATAGATTGTATGTCTCCCAGACGATACAATACAGTCCGTACAACGCATAGGCATGCTGAGTATCAAATTATGGATCTGATCTTGGGGGATATTACACCACTCAAAAAGCAATGCTCTCCGAAGTTCCGGTAGACATGTAGGAGGAGGTTGACGGGCTGCAACTCATCGCGGCCAAGCATGTCCCACACGTGCTCTACTGGATTCAAGCCGGTGAGAATGCTGGCCAGTCCATACGGGTGATATCCTCCGATTAAAGGTATTCGCTTACGATGTTTGCACGGTGAGGACGGGCGTTGTCATCCATAAACCCAAATTGTGCGCCCATGGCGGCCCGAAACAAACGTACATGTTGTTCCAGAATGACGTCCCGATAGATTTGGCTTGTCATGGTTCCAATTTGAACATGCAGGTCAGTTCTGGAACCCAGAATAATTCCACCCCAAACGAGTACTCCTGCACCACCGTAACGGTGTCGTTCAATGATGTTTTCTTGGTGGTAACGGGTATCTGGAGCTCTCCATATGAAAGTCCGGCGAGAATCAGACTGTAAACTAAATCTGGACTCGTCGAAAAACATAACACAAGCCCACTGTTGCGGTGTCTACACTGCATGTTCTCTACTCCAGGCTAACCGCAGGCGACAGTGAGTTGCAGTAAGTGGAACGCATCTGACAGGTCTACGAGCATATAGACCAATCTGCCTTAAGCGTCTGTACACAGTCTGCCTTGAAATTGTCGTACCAGTGGCTGAAGAGAGCTGACGAGACAGGTCTGAGGCTGTGCTCCGCCTGTTTCTTTTGGCAGTAACTGCCAAATGCCGGTCCTCATTCGGCGTTGTAACTCTGGGGGACCTGTGCTGTTACGTCTACTCACATTACCATCATCTTGGATTCGTTGGCAAAGCCTGGAGATGACACTCTGGGCAATTCCAAGTTTGTCTGATACTTCCAGTTGGGTACGCCCATATTCATGACGGCCGATAATTCTACTACGTAAAAAAATCATCCCAATGCGTCCTTTGTGTCATAACTGTTTGGTTATTGCACCGAAATGCTTATAAAGCGCCTGCAAACAATTTTACTTCTTTGCCTGTATTCCTTATATATCACTCTCTTACACTCTCGTCATTGTGACGTACCATCGGTGTCATCTGGTTACTTCCTGATATTTGCATATGATTCTTGAAGATGTGTGTAGTGATTTTACAGGTGATATATTTATTTTAGAGTTCGATTTCCGCGTGACTCCGAATTATCCTTAATTTATGGACATGAGTGTAAATAGAAAGTTAATGCTATGTATAACAGTTAATAGAATTTTAAACGTATATAGAACTTATATATAAACTAATAGAGATTGTTATTTATGTAGTTCGCTTTATAAAGTCATATCAGTAGTAAACTGGTTTTAAATTTGGATTAGTAATGAGAACATTCATTTAAAACTTTTAAATTCTTAAAACATATGCCTGCATTTTATTATCACGCGATTATTTTGTATAGTGCTTCCTCCCCCCCCCCACACACACGGTATTTTCTGTGAGAAATTTTTTTAAATTCCGGAGTTTTTGACCTGTTTTATTTCCTATGATGATGCTTTATACCAGGGTTTCTTAAACTTTCTTCAGTCGCGATCCCCAGGACCCCCATAATATTTACGAAAATTTTGTGGGAACCCATAAGCATTGCGCAAATACGACACAAGCGTGTGTGAAACTGTCAATTTTTTCACTTGTACTGTAAAACACTATTGCAGTTTTAGGTCATTAACTTTAATTTCTAATTTTAAGACATAGAACAATGTGAAAATTTTAAATAAGTAACAGAGAAATGACAGCGTCACGTGCAAAGCAAGGAAAATGAACCGTTTCTATTATAAAAAGAATGCGTCGAAACGTTTTCCTTTTTACTTTGTCTGTACTGTCTTATCTTTATCTATTTTCAGATACATTGTGTAAAAATATTTGGTAATTGTAAAATTATTATTATAAGTTAAAGAAGTATCAAAAATGCTAAATTTTTTGGCGATTCCCTGCTGCAGCGGGAGTCGCGACCCACAGTTTAAGAAACGCTGCTTTAAACCAAGATGTTTTAGAATTGAGATGTTTTCACTTTGCTTTCTTTTCTTCCACAATACTTTCCCGTTTGCGTTGTTTTCCCGCGACGTTGATGCCCTCGATATTTTCGGTGGACACCGGTTTCTCAATAATTCAGTTTTTCATCACCCGACATTCCTGATTTACCTTGAATTTCCAAAAAAATTTAATAACTAAGTTATCGGGATTTCAGAAATATTTTGCAAAGAAATAAAAACAATAATTAAGACACAATAACACGCCGAATAAGTACTAATTCAGAAGTCAAACAACAAAAATCAGCGTTAATTTTCAAAATTTTCACAGTTAACTAGTTTCGATGGTTTTACCGAACCACCATCCTCAGCTGCAAAACCGCAAATGAATGCTTTCATCTTGCTTAGGAACGTAAAGTTAAATTGTGTATGAAATGTAAGCAAATATTAAATTCTTTTCAAAAACAATTTTAATTTAAAATATTAATATTTAGAATTAAATGTTTTTTCGCTGTGTATTTTAACAATAATCCATCATTAATATATAACTTCAATATCTTGATCATTAAGATTATTTATAAGTTTTTAAATAAATAAATCAGCTGAAAAAAATTATTTTACTGCATGAAAATTAGAACAACTGTGTTTAGTGAAGCCATTATCACTGAAGCCATTATTTAGTTACTTCCTTAAGTTTTAATAATCTCAAAAATTTTTTTTATTAGTCCAAAGGGACTTTGTGCCTGAAGAACTATTGTTTTCGTTTCGCGATTTTGCGTTGAATCATTATAAATGTCCGTTTCACTTTTCAAACTGTTGCCACTAAATGTTTTAGTCCTGCATTATATTTGAAGAAATTATACAATGAAAAATAACATAAATGTATATATATTGCTCGCATTGTAATTAAACAACGGTACATAGAGCCATCGAATTTTGAATTGCGTAATCCTCCTATGTATACGGTCATGTGGAAGACCAAATTTGAAATTTGGAATTTGTTTTGTTATCCATTTCATATTTTGTAAAACTTTAACGTATTTTTTAGTAACAAACTCAACGATTTAAAAGCGAGCAAAGGCAAAACTTTACAGGGAAAGGCAAAAGGGGGAAAAAAAAAAAAAAAAAAAAAAAAATTTAAAAAAAAAAAAAATATCTCCAGCGCGCGGAACTGTGTATCGGAAATTCTAAAGGTATGCTCATTTTAAAATCACATTGCTATTGAACTGAATTTTATGATTTAAGTGCAAATAATTATGATATTTAATAAATAAAGGTAACATACAAAACGTTAAAAAACGCCCCTTTGGACGTAATTTAAAATCCGAAACCTTTCAGATTTTTTTTAGTGTTATTTAAGTTTATTATTATTATTATTATTATTATTATTAAGTTGAACCATTTCGAATAAAAAATTTATGAAATATATTGCCAGACAGAGATTTTTGAATCAGATTCAAGAATGTTAATCTGCAATGTGGTTTCTGTGAATGATAAAAACCTGCAGTAAAGGGGGGGGATGCATTCGCATTACCAACAATTATCCAAAATCGATATTATCGAATAACAGAGTATATCAAATTTAACAGGAATCGTTAAATACACTAATAAACCAAACAAGATATACTAATGAAAAATATTCAATTCTATTGGATTATTTGATTATGTCAAAATTCACTAAAACTATCTGCTACAGAGAAAGGTTTCGCAAATTACTTGCTAAGAGCAACTGACTCGTATTTATGCTATACATGAGGGGAACGATGGAACTTAATTTAGGAAGCCCATTCAGGTAATAAAACGCAGTATTTCGTTTCACGGTTTTAGCTACTTATGGTCCTTCTTAGTTACATTCTACTACTGCACTATATTACTTTATAATAGGCACTTCTAGGTCTTTAGGATCCTCCCTCATTTGCGATTATAACACGTGTCATCACAGCACATCACATATTTCCTCCGCCTCATCTAAGAGAGTAGTTCAATCTAACCTTCATACATCGCCTTTCGCGAAGCGAAACATACTAAAGGAAGAAATGTGTTTGTGTTGGGGTTGTAATAAGGGAACTTTACCATCTTTGCAACTCTAGTTACCATGGTTACGAGATAAGGCGGGACAGGTGAAAAATAATCTTGAAGTGCATATTTTGAAGCAACATTATACAACACTGTCTCCAACGAATCCAGCCCTATATTTTCGAATACTTAATCTCTATTATTAAACAACGAAGAAACTTTATGTATATAGGTATGTATGTGTGTTCCTTATATTGTGGAAAAACGATGGCATCTAGAACCACCACTTTTTGAGCACACCTAGTCCTACATCGAACATGGGCACATCGGAGACTAAATTTTGAATTTCGATTTTTTTAAAATTTATTTAATATTTTGCTCGAATTAAGGTAAAGTCTGATTAACAAACTCAGCGATTTAACAGCGAGTGGTGGTATTATGTTCGAAATGAAACATTTTTCTCTAGCGCTTCAGACTGTTGCCATTCCTCAGTTTTAAGAGATCCAGTGTTCCTTCTGCGAACAAAGGGCCTAAAAAAGGAACGGTTAATTATTCCACACCACTAATTTACACTCCATAGACGCTGATGCTCCCGTTTGGGTGAAGCCAGTGGAGATTATTTACTGATCAATATTGCATGTTTCATCTTAATAGACGCACGTAATTTCTTTGAGAACATGGGAAAAAAAAAAAAACATTTTACAGTTTAATTAAACAAATTGTAAACTATGGCCCTAATGTGGAAAGCGTAGTAAAAAGACCCAGTTCAGTTCACCACAATTCAAAGTGGTAAAGGGCCCACCAGCGGCCGAGCGGTAAAGACGCTGAACACTGGTAGTTCGGTCCGAGATTCAAATCCCGCGAACGGGCTGGCTGCATGGACGTTTTCGGGGTTTTCCCCATGTGTAACATGTATACGAATCCTCCACGAAGTTTTCTTCAGTTTCCTTCGAAAGTCCTCCACGAAGGCATCCCTCCCTTTAGACAGAGAGCCCTCGTGTGCTGTGACATAATTTGGATAATCCAATCCAATGAAAGTGGTAAAATTGTATATATGTACTATATATTATTTACTGACAAAGAGAAATGGACTTTGTTTCCTAGCAAAGCAGGAATTGGACTTTGTTTAAAGTAACTTATTTCATTATTTATCATATTTTTCATTACTATATTTTATTTTATTGTGAGTTTCGCCCTCTTTTCCAGTCACTCGTTTGTTACTGTTACGCTTTCTAGATGTTGCACTTCTAGTTTCTTCTAATTGATTAAAAGGTTTCACTAATAATTTTCGAGATGGTTTAGGTTTATTGGGATATCTTTCAGCAAACATATTATAAGAACACACAGTACTTTTCCTTCATTCCCCATACACCACGAGCTTGTCGCTTTTTTAGAATTAAAAATACCATCTTTCAGCGTGTTTTGCTTCTAGGAATTTCAAAAAGTGCTGACAATAAAGTGAGTCCAAATCCAAGAACTGTAAATGGAAGCAAATGTTGACAAATATACGAACATCGTATCTAATAAATGGAGGACATAACTGTTGTTAAATGGAGCACATAACTGTCCGAGGTTACAGTTTTGATATCATCAAAATAGCTTGTAAACTACTTTGTCTAAACTTCCAAATGAGCATCTTTTATTTTAGAAATAAATGCGGTCAAAGTTTTAGGTGATTCACTCTGCATATATTTGCGTGTAAACAGAGAACATCTTTGGTGAATTTTTGCTTCACTGAATATATTTGTTTCTTTGAAACTATCTTGCTGGCTTTTTCAGCCAGATTACAAGAACATTTCTTTCTTCAATCTGGCTTCCAAAATTTCAAATTTTGCTTTAAAATCCGTTTCGTAATGGCAACGTAAAATGTTTTTTTAAACTTGATATTTCCTTATTACAGATTTTCATATGAAAATAACATTCAAAAGTCAGATACAGTTATGGAGATTATGAAGACAATTATGAATAGCTATTCGCAAATAGCTATTAATATAATGTAGATGTTAGAACAAGCACAAAAAAGTATGCTTTAAAAATAGTTTGTTTTAATCTATATACCCACTGAATTGCATAGCGGTGAATCCTGATAACTAACAAGTGATTGGCTTAAACAAAATCAGAAGCACCAACTCAAAAATAAAATAAAGAAATAAAAAACAATAAAATAATTTTTTTTTTTTTTTTTTTTACTTTATTTTTTGAATATCACGTTCTTGGCCACAAAAAGTTCGATTCAACGGCAAAATCACAAAATATAAAAAATATTTTTAGAATTTTCGACAGACAGTGTCACGTGCTAGAGATAAAAATGGTTTTTTTTCGTAGAGTGTTAATTAAGGGCCAACTCAGTTAGTTATTTCTGTACAGCTTCGGCTAAATTTTAGTTAAACTAGTTTCTTAGTTAAAGTTACCTTAAGTTAAAGCCCAAGTGGAGGCTTTCTTGTAAGCTCGAGAGAGGCGACCTGTTGTTATTCTTTGAGTCCTTCTTTGGACTTTGTTTCTATAGTTGTAAGAACAGCTTAAAGTCGCTATACTCTTCTCCAAGGTTTCAGTTGCTAAAGACTCATGATTTAACCATAAGCACTTTTGGAGAGTGATTTAAAATAAAGTGATGATGCTATATGACTTTATGTTTCTAATTATGGTGTTATTATTTATAAAGAATAAATAGCTTGCTTGGTTTTATTATTTGTTTTAAATATTGTGGCATAAGAAACAATAAAAATATAGTGGCTGCAACTACATATTCAGACTTATCATATATAATCTCTAAATGGCATTAAAGTTTCTAAATACATCAGTAAGAAAACAGTTCGGGAAAGACAAAGTATTTTGCATTAAAATTAATTACTCAATTATTAAATAGTTATGTTACTTAATAAACACAAAAAATACAAAAATTAAAAGAACAAAAGTTATTTACCTATTGTTGTGACGACTGTGATAGCGAAGAAAAAAGAGTTATCGAAACTCCAATTCGTGTGCGTGTCATTCCCTGATTCATCGATTAGAGATTGACTGTGTGCAAGACGTAACATAAGACTTTCTAGATCTGCTCTTGTCACGTTTGCCTCCCCCAAGCGGTTAAGTTTGTCTTAAAAAAAAAAAAAAAAAAAAAAAAAAAAAAAATATTATTACAGCATGTTCAGTGCAACATCAATAATTAATTAGTTCTTATTTCTATGAAATACAAAAAGTATGAACGATATACTATTTAATTTCAAATATTCTGACGTCATTTATTGATGTCATTCATTGATATTTACAGGGTTCGTACACATTTCCTTACATGAAAATTAAGGACTTTTAAGGACCATCAAAGAAAAAATTAAGGACCTATCAGCAAACAAAAAAACGAGTAGAATAAAGCAATTATACATACAACCGATTTCATGCTTGTAATTTCACTTTAAGAAACTAACAGAAGTGTGTATTATGCACTATTATTAAATTCAATTTAATACTTACCATAAAACAATTTTGAAAATTAAACTCCCTACAAGTTATGAAGTATATAACATTAAATTAGGAACATGATTTCTTGAAAAACATGTATAAGTGTATTTTACACTAATAACAGTCACTATTTTAGAGATTTAATTATTATTATTTAACTTATTTAATATTTATTTAAACACAGTCAACTACTATTATAATCACAATGTAAGAATATTTTGCAGATTAAAATAACTGATTTGTAAACTGATTTGTAAACATACAATTTATTTCCTTGGTTTTTTGAAAGATACTAGAATAATAAACTGTACAATAAATAAAAGATACAAAACATTTGTGCTTTTTTTTAAATCTGAAATCTTTTCAGCTATTTTAACATCTAATTTATTTATGTCTATTTCCTTTTCTTTAACTATTCTTCTAAGTTCATTTGCTTTGATAAACAAATCAATGTTCCTGCTGGTCTCAGCTTCATCTGCTAAAGCATCTACTTCTTCATTAATATCTTTAATGTCCCTTTGAAGAAATTTTTTCTTCTGCTTCATATAATCAATTTCTTTCTCAATAATATTTCTTTTCCTCTTTGAATTTTCAGATTTAGTTAAAGATTTTTGTTCTTCTAAATACTGCATATATTTAGACCTTGCAGAAGCTGCTGCTGATCTCATTTCTTTATTAATTTCGATATTAAGAACAACTCCAGAAAATTTTATGTAATCAAATACTGTGCGTTGAAAAATGTATGATGAGTCAATTAAATTTTCAATTTCAATTGCTTTATTTACAGAGAAGCCCCTTTCCACAGAGGCCTGTCTATGTGACAAGATAAGAATCATTTACACTATTTTCCATACTTTTGAATAGTGAAAATCATGAAAATAAGAAGTGAGAAATGTGTCAAGAGAAAGATTTTGAGGATCAAAAGTAGAAAATTCATGTAAATTTGTCTTAACTACTTTGTCTAGAAACTCTTCAAACTGCAGCAGAATTTCATCACAATCATCTTGTAAAACACGTTTATTCCGCATTAATACCGTTAGAACTATTTTCATTTTGTTCTGGGCTTTTTCTGGACTTTTAACCATCAATCGCTGGTCTATACAAGATGCATTTCGAATAAGAGAATAATTTATTGGACATTTAGACATTAAGTGTTGTACCATTGTTAAGACACATTGTTGACCTTCTTGTTTCAATGCAAAACTTTCAGCTTGTGAAATGTCCTTCTTGCGGCATTTATCATTCATTAACTGCTCAGCAATAAATCCCAAATAAACTTTACTTTTATCATTATAACAATTTGGATCATTAAAATTAAATTTATAAACATTTTCTGCTTTAGTTATTTTTGAATATTCTAGTTTCAAAATTTTAAAGTGCTGAAGGCAATCATTTACAAGTTTTAAGATATCTTCAGCAAAAAAGTGAATAAGTGATTTATCACTTTGATAATATTCAAGGAAAGGCAATAATATTTTCGACAGAGAGAGAAAAAAATTAAATTTTATAAGAAATGTTTTATCTTTAGTTGCCTCCAAAATATTTGAGAAGGATTTCGATGAATTTTTTTTTAAACTTCCCATTTCAACTTTTTTAATGTACAGTAGCAAGTCATCCCATATTTCAATGGCTCTTTCAACTGCTGGGACATTTTGCAACTATCGGTAAAAAGCAGAACTTCACATGTAGCTTTTTTAAGCCAGATATACTTAAAAAAATCTTCACGTCTTGCAGGAGAATCTTTAAAAATCTAATATAAGGAGGATAAGAATGATGGAATGTCCCAGCCAGTGGATGACATCCCATGCTTGAAAGCATTGTTAAGAATGTGTAAACCGCATGTCCCTAATGTCAAGCATTGAATGTTATATTCCTTTGTCAAGTCCTGTTGCAATAAATCATAAAATTTCCAATTTACTGCAGGACCATCCATCGATATTTGTAAGAGTTATGACAAGTCTAGTTTTTCAACACATTCATAATATTTGGATAAAATAATTTGACTTGTTGCATGCCCTATAAATGCAGAAGTAAGGTACTGAGTTCTGACCTTATTTTCGTGATGCATAAATAAGCTTTACAAATAAGTCAAATTTGTTTTGCTTCTAACTCTTCCTTTGCCTGATTTTGCATTATCCTTAATTTATGGACATGAGTGTATATGTATATAATGTATATATATATATAATAAGAAATGTATACTGAAAATATACATTTTTTACTATATATATATATATATATATATATATATATATACAGTACAAAGTCCGAGATCCGGACATCCAATATCTGGAATGATCTAAAATCCGGACCTCAAAGCCACCACCAAGCAATTTTTTAGGGCTTTTTTTGGAGGGAAGGGGTATGCTTTACGCATGCGCATTAGATTCTCTTCCTCATCATAAAAAAAACAAGTCGGAAATCCCGATTCTTAATCTCAGTTTGGCGCTAAATAAAATATCTCATTATTGAAGAAATAATTATTTTAGCATAAATTTGTGTGATTAGTAACTTGACTCCATAGCTGCGTATCTGCTTGGCATAATCTCAAACCGAAACATTTGTTAATTTTACACCAACTAATATTTTATATCCTTGATGCCGAAATCGCGAATCATTATTTATTGTATTTTGCTTTCATTACCGCGTGTTTATCAACGGATGACAACTTGAGTGATGACTCATGCAGCGACGCCAAATAACAGAGCATTATCCGATTACAGATTTAAGTTTAATGCACTAAAATGCTGACAAGGGGAGATTTAACAGAAATTTCTTTCCTTATGCTAAAAATAGATTTTGTTGTGATACTCATAGGACAAACGATTATATTTAGTGCTATTTGAATTAAGAATAACTGATTTGTTATTCACGTAAAGCCAGAACCAGCACCAGAGCTCGCATGGCCGCACCAGGCGACAGAATTTAGGGAAGTTAAACAGAAGTTTTTCATTGCGATGACAATGCCCCAATCATCAATCAATTAACGGAGGGCGAAATCAGTAGTATGGTTCTAAATCCAGAAAATACAGCTACCAATAGTGAAGAAAGTACCAGAGAGGTTACTGAACGAGAAAAAATTTTTGACAGGTTATTCGGAATTCTCGACCAGCAATTACAGGACTTGAACAATGGAACTTAATAACTGAACAAGAAATTATATGTCTATAGTATTAGTCTAAAGTATTAGCAGAGAAAACAAATCAAACAACTCACATTGAAAGAAATGTTTAATAAAGTAAACATATAAATATTAAGCTCTTTTCTTTTTTAAATTTTGATACCCTTTAAATCATAAATGCTTCATTATTTCATAAATCACGATTTCATATTTTCAATTATATAATTTCTACGTGCCATCTTAGTAGATTTAAAATGATCTAATATCCGGAAAAATCTCAAATCTGGGATCGACGAGTCCAAACCTCGGACTTTGTACTGCTATATATATATATATATATATATATATATATTCCGTATTATATATATATATATAATACGGAATGTATATTTTCAGTTAAACTTCTACCCAATAACTTTAGTAATTCATGAAAGTTAATTTTGCGTCTAGTTAATTCAGGAAAATTAGTTTCAATTAGTTGTTTTCAGCTTTAAAAATATTAAAAATTTTTTAATTAGTTAGTTGTTTTCAACTAATAATTGTATCGCCATTAGCAAAAATAATGCATTACTATTAACAGCATAGGATTTAAAATTTAATAACCAAATACTTAATTGTCTATTGAAGCTTCAAAACGTATTTCCGAACTTCACTTTTTTCGGCTAGCGTTACCGAATTTGCCCTTGGCGACCTAAAATCGAAATGGAGCCAACAGATTTCCCGCGAAATCGATAACAGACCATCTGCAGAAATAAACTCATAATCCCGATACATACATATAGTATGTGCAAAAGAGAATAAACTCCGTAGAAGGTGATAAAAATTAATTTATGGCTTAATTGAAACAAACACAGAAATTAAGCTAAGCAAAAACGTGTAAAAACAAATTGAAATGATAAAATGAAACTTAATTTTCATGTGAATTTCCAGCGCTGAGTCTTCCATTCTAGAAATTTCAATTTGTTTCAGACAAAGACCACATTTAGCTTTATAAGGATTGTCATCCATCAATATCCAGTCTTTATAGTCAGCTTGATGAGGCCACAGTTTATTGAAAATGCACTTGTAGGGTTTATATTTATTTTAACTAACATTTATTTTAAGTTTAAACTATCTTTCCTGTCAAGCCTTACTTTCCCCTGGAACTGCCAATGCCAGAATATGTAAATTTTAGTAGAACGCGCAAGGATTCAAATTATCAGCGGAAGTATTATGATTTAAATAGAAGGAAACAAGTTCGGTGTGTGTGATATATTCTTACTTCACGAGCGCGGAGGTAGTTAGCGAGAAATTGAAGAACCCCGCGTTTCGGGAAGTAGTGTTAATCGTTCAAGTGAGCTTCAAGTCTGCTGAATTAGCAGCGGTATTGTAAAACGCGGTGAGTTAGTTATTTTAGAGAGCCTCGTAGTTAGAGTCTTGTCTTTAGTTTCTTTTCAGGTTATTATTTTTATTTGACCGCCGAGTTGGCGCAGTCTGTGAGCGTCAAGAGCACGCAATTGTAATTTTTACGTTGAATAAAAAGGGACTTAAACCCTTCACAAGACTCTGTGTTTTATCCAGTTTTCACAGTCACCTCTTGGTTGCGTGCAAGTTGGAGGACTTATCGAACTGAAATGGCCGAAAATTGGATGGAAACCGCT